AACGGCACCTCCCGATATTCGGCATTTTGATGATCTTAGCGACTTTATTCATCGGAATTGTTTAAAATTTGGCATTTGAAGGTGGTAATGGATACTACAGCCTAAGACAGAAATTGTATGTGCAGTTCCACGTCTTCGTATAGCCCCCATATAACGGTACCTCCCGATATTCGATATTTTGATGATTTTAGCGACATTATTCACCGGAAATGTTTAAAATTTGGTATTTGAAGTTCGTAATGGATACTACAGCCAATGACAGAACGCCTAACGACACCACCCGGTAATTGGAATTGTTTCAAATTTGGTAATTGAGGTTTGTAATGAATACTACAGCCTAAGGCAGAAAATTTTCTGTGCAATTCCAGGTCTTTGTATAGCCTCCCTACAATGGTACCTCCCTATGTTCGGTATATTGATGATTTTAGGTACATTATTCACGATTTTTTTTTTCAAGTTCGGTATTTTGATGATTTTAGCTACATTATTCACCGATTTTTTTTTTTCAAGTTTCGCATTTGAATATTGTAATAGCTTATGACGAATGTAGCCTATCCAGGTCCACGTCGTCGTATAGACCCAATACACCGGCTATATGCGGTATTTTTATAATATATATGTAATATACATATATATCTCAATGTGTGACTGCTTCCAGACGAATCGGATGAAAATAGAATTTTGAAATTTTGACTGTAGCTCAATGGGGTTAGATAAAACGGCATTTTTTTTTAGATATTGGAACTATAACTGCTGAAATATACTAAAAGAAGTTAAAAAGAATCAGTCGGGTCTGCCGGTATTTTGACCTTCGTTATGATTATTCAAATTGTTGACCCTCTATGGAGTTGGTTCCGAAGGAATGGGACAACATTGTCCATTTCGTATCGGATCTAAATAAATATTATATATATACTAGCTGGCCCGGTCCGCGTTGCCGGCCCGTAGTTTTTGTCTATTATACATATTTGTCAAAGCATAATTATTCACAGATATGACTGATATAAGAGTTCACGTACTGGTCGATTAAAAGTGTTTTAAAATACCTGTACCCATAATTAAGCCGTGGGCTTCAATATTTTAACCGGGGGCTTGAAATGTGTGGATGTGGTATACAAATCTATTAAAAAGTATATATTAATCTTATCCCCATGTAAGGGATCAAATTAATTTTTAGTATGGTAAAAATCGTAGCAACATTTTCCAGTCAAATAAGCAGTAATTTTGAATGTACTGTACTTTGTACACCTCATAATTGAGGGCTGAATGATTTAAAAATAGCCAAAGTTTATTACTTTTTTAAACACATTTTCACCTCAGATTGTGCATAAGAGTCCTCATAAGTCCTCCTAATCATGTCGGTCTGTTTTCCGCCAAAAGGTGGACTTGAGGTGGTACTATTATATGGAAAATTTGTAGATATTAATGAAATTTTTGTGTAAGATTGTTACCCCCCAATATACATTTTTAGCCAAATCCTTTAAAATATGGTGAAATCAGGAGGTGGGCACTACTCCGAAACATCGATCTACATCGAAAACTTTCTTCTACCCTTCATAATCCAAGATGGCAAATAGAAGCCAAATCAAAAATATAGCAGAACAACATAATATGTCAAACTAAAAAAATTTCGCGTGATTTAAATAAGTAATAATAGTTTTATCCACCTCATAATTGAGGGCAGAATGATTTCAGAATAGTCAAATATAATTATTATTATTATCAAATATAATTAACGTAAGATGGGAATTAATTTTAAATTGTAAGTTGGAGTCCATATTTTTCATCATAGTATAATTCAATGACGATTCAACAAATATTCGGTCCCGTGCTACTTTCTTATATTTGTAATTTGTTCATGTTTTCACAATTTATTTCATATAGATGTATATCCCAAATCTACGTTCCCAACAAATATTCTCTTGGGGTTGCAAATTCAATAGAATACACATTTTTCTTTTCTGACCACACATTAGATGTGAAAGTGGAAGTGAATAAATTTCTATGTGGCAGTTATCTGTACGATGGTTCCTTACCCCAGTGTAGCATAAATACAATTTTTTAGTGGTCAAGACCAATATGGGCCCTACTCCGAAAATTTTATGCGAAGAGATTCTCTACCCCCTTAGAAACAAAGATGCCAAATAAGGGCCAAAAATAGAAGAAAGTGGGGAAGACTCCAAAAATAGCTTAAATCATACGATGGTTATTTATGATCGATATCATGACCTGCAAAAGCGATTTAAGGTATCTTAAATGTTCAGGAAGAATTTTTGGAAGGATAGAAATCCTTTTCTTACTTAAAGTCCCATTCGCACTACTATTTTGCACCCTTTATATTTGGTATTTTACTGGTTGTACTCCCAAAAATTTTTGCATTTTGAGCTCTCATTGGACGGATTGTTGTGACATGAAAGAAGTAGGTCCACGCTTTGAAATGAGCCCCATTAGTCTTTTTCGGTCATTTTTGTTTGTAGGCCCTGGAGTTGAAAGGTAGATGTCAGTTACCATCGTATTTCGCACTTATTTCATTTTTTTGGTGAAAAATTGTATATAGCGAAAAATTCTTCTTTAGTTTGTTCACAAAAAATCCACTGAATTCAATATGATATTACAAATTGAAAAAAATTTACAAAAGAAGAATAACAAATTGAAAAAATCTTCAACTTGTTCGCTGATGTTTTACAGCAACTGTTTAAGGATCCTTACAAAGTTTGTCAATAGAATGTACTTTTATTTTAAAATTCAACTCCATTGGAATTTTTTTTCGATATTTCCCCGTTTTGAGAATTGTTGCAATGAGATCTCTTTTTTCGTGATTTATTTAACGATTTTGAAAAAGTAATTATCTTTTAACTTTGGTGTGACCGCATTAAATTATTTCGGTATCATCTATTCCGTTTCGCCAACACATAATTCGGTACTACACTTCCATGTAACCCGCCATCAATTTCAGTTCTCAAGAAATCAAGTCAATTAAATAAATTGGTATTAATATTCGAATTCAAAAATAAAATATAAAAAACACTACAAATGTATATTAGAAAAAAGTAAGTCAAAATGGAAAAAATCATGCAAAATAAAACATTACTATTGTACATTTGAAAAGTCAAAATGAAAATGTTAATATATCACATTTTTACGCGATTTTTGTGGATATTATCCTTTTCGGAGAGGAGACAACTCCGAATTTGTGTGAATCGTTAAAATCAGTCCAGCGGTTCTTAAGTTATAAGCGTAGTAACTAACACAACTTACATTTATATATATAGATATTGCAAAGTGCCAAGTTTCGACTATATCGCCTATTTCCTATGAGATATGTGATAATTTTTAGAAAATGTTTAAATGTGCGTGAGGCACCATATACCGAAGTGTTCCATGAAGTTTGAAGACGGTTGGAAGCTTATATTGTTTTGTTTTTCAAAATCTTGAACCACACGTGGGGATGAACCATATTTATCACAGATCTTGTGTTGATGAAAATACTGAGATGTACCAAATCCGAATAGAATCGGATGTTAATTTCGCGTTTTATGAGCTTCACGGATGTTCAAAATGTTGACCCTTTGTGGGGGAGGTACCAGAAGGAGTGGGACCATATATTCCATCTTCACAGCAGACCTTCTGTTATTAAATGTGAAATATGAAGAAAACCGGATAATTATTTCGGATTTTATAATCGTTTTGGGGAGGTACCAGAAGGAATGGTCCGATCTCTGCCATTTTTATGAAAAATCTTGTGTTGATGAAAATGTTGAGATGTGCCAAGTCTGAATGGAATCAGATTTTAATTTCGCGTTTTATGAGCTCATGGACATTAAAAATTATGACCCTTTTTGGAGGAGGTACCAGGAGGAGTGGACCGATATATTCCATCTTCACACCAGACTTTGGGTCAATAAAAATATTGGGATGTGTGAAATTTGAAGACAATCGGACTCTTACACCACCTTTTATAAGAGTTATAATTATTCAAAATTTTGATCCTTTGTGGGAGAGGTACTTGATGGAGTGGACCGATATCGTCCATTTTCGCACTTGACCTAGCACTGATGCAAATATTATGATTTACAAAGTTGGAGCAAAATCGAGCTATCCTTTTCGAGCTATCGAGCTTTCCTTCTGTGCAATAAAATATATTTTTATATTTTTATATAACTTTCGACCTTTTGTGTGGGAGGCACCAGAAAGAGTAGAACGATATTGCCCATTGCCGAACTCGATTTAAGTTTTATAATAGATACTCCCTTCGAGAGCAGCAGGATTTGGTCCAAAGAGACCTAGGTTCTAAAGTCGTTATTTCGATGAGACATGTTTTGGTCGTATCAAATGATATAAAAAAACTGCAACAAAGCCAAACGCCATAATTTTTACATTTTTTTTTAATTTAGTCCAATGGATTGGTATCCGGAGATTTTGGTGGCCATTGTGAGCTGGAAATGAAGCGAGGATCCTCATTTTGTAACAATTCTGGGGTGGCGCGTGCTGAGTGCGATGTTGCTTCGTCCTGTTGAAATGTCCACGATATGCGGCCAAAATGTTTGCGTGTCCAAGGCTTTAATACACCCTTCAGCATTTTTTCGCGATAATATTCGGCTTTATTCTAATGCCACGATCTATTATGGCGATCCACGCTTGAATTCCACCGCGAAGAACTTTCTTTCCGGAAAATTCTCACCAAAATGCTTCTGTACGTTTGTAAACAATATAATGAGCTGTGACTGGAATAATTTTAACAGGTGTCGTACGAGTGACTTAGAAATGACAGCAGTATGAAGTCGATTGCAGTTTTTTCATCTCACCCTGTATACCCTCTGTAGTCATATGGCTGAAGGTATAATAAAAAAAATGCCTCATACATCTCCTATGACTAAGAGTCTAGTAGGCTATTTTGTAAGTAGTTACTAATAACAACATTCACGTTACAAACCCATCATTTGGTAACGAGATTTTTGCTACATTACTTGATTCCTCACACCAAAAATAAAATAACCCGATTTGTCATTTATGTAGTAAAAACGTCTAGTTTATTCGTTGTTATAATTATTTTTAATGGTTTGTTGTTGTTCTTGTTGTGTTGATACATTTTATTTAATTGATTTTTAATGTTATTCATCGATAACGTCAACATATACTTAGTTACTTTGTTCTTGTGGTTGTTCTTTTGCACCTAAAGTTACATTTTAAAAAAAAAATTAAAATTATTTTTTTTATAATTTAAATGATATGTGTGTGTGAGTCGAAAACGTAAAAAGAAATAAAAGATGTAAATGTAACGATGTAATAAAAAAAAGAAATTTAAGACGAGAAAAGGATAAACAAATGAAGGCACTAAAGTTTTGGGGGAATTGCTTAGTCGTAAGTACCTTCAACAATGTACGATGTAGTAATAGTAATAATAATGATCATAATAAATAATGATGATGATCATGATAATAATAATAATAATAATAATAATAATATTTATGATAATTATGTCGATGATAATTACGTTGCTAATAACGACAACTACAAAAAAGACTAGTAGTCAAAATAGGAAGACTAGAGTTTCCTATTTTTTGTGTGTATGTGTGTAAGTTTTGTTTTTGGTTTTTTTTTTTCTTCCAAAAAAAATTATTGCAAATTACTAGAGATAATAGTCTTAGTTATATCTAATTTATTAATAATAGTTTAGAGTTTTTTCTTCTTTGGTTTATGTGTAAAAAAATACGCATTTGCATGCGTTCGTAATAATAAATTAAATAGTTTTTTTTTCTTCTTCTATGAAATGAATTCGTAATAGGATGGGTGAGGCCTACAGATTGTTTGGTTGGTTGGTGGGGATTTCCTTTCTTTTGGGGGAAAAAAAAGTTCAAGTCTATTTTTCTTTGGTTTCTTGGTTTTTGGTAGTTATTGCTGTAATGAAAATCTTAAAATCTACGGTTGTTGTGCGGCTGCTGCTGATGATGTCTAGAACCGGTCGAACAGGATGAAGATGAGGCGGCACCGCCTCCTCCTCCACCACCGCCACCGCCGGTTCTTCTACTCGAGCTACCTTTCGATGATGCCGATGAGGAACTAGGATTGTTGAGTCGCTTCCTTTCCTGGGCATAATAACAGAATATACAAAAGCCATTTTGTGGTGTGGTACATCAAATGTTTGTGGGGCTGCGTGAAGAGGATTGGGTGCGATAACGTGAATTGGATCTGAAAGAAAATGAAAGAAAGAAATAGACAATAGTTAGGTTCCGTTGTCTTGAAAAGCGTCAATGTAGCCAAAAAAAGTATATATATCGTAATTTTTGGAACATTTATTGCACGAATTTCCGAATGACCTTTTTATTCCCTCCACCATAACACTTCGAAATATTAATTTAAGACCCCATAAAGTATATATATATTCTTGATTAGCGTAAAATTCTAAGACGATTTAGCCCTGTCCGTCTGTCTGTCTGTATGTTGTAATCACGCTAGAGTCAAAACAAATAAAGATAGGAAGCTAAACTTTTGCACAGGTCAATCTTTTGTCTGCAGGCAGGTCAATTTCGAAGATGGGCTATATCGGTCCGCGATATCGTATAGCCCCCATATAGTGGTACCCTCCGATATTCGGTATTTTGATGATTGTAGCCTAATTTTTCAATGAAATTGTCTGAAAATCGACAAAAGGTTCCTTCTGAGTACTTTACCCCCTGGAAGAGTATTGTCTATACAGGTCCACGATATCGTATATCCCCCATATAGGTACCGTTATATGGTAAAGTACTCAGAAGCAACCATTTGTCGATTTTCAGAAAATTTCATATACCCTATATTCGGTATTTTGATGATTTTACCTAATTTTTTCTATTGAATTGTCCAATAATCTATACTAGAAGTTCTCTCTAGGCACTTTACCCCCTGGAAGAGAAATGTCCACAGAGGTCCACGATATCGTATAGCCCACATACACTGAACCCCCCGATATTCGATATTTTGACGATTTTAGGAACATAATTCACCGGAGTTGTTTCAAGCTTCGTGTTTAGAGTTCGTAATGGGAACTATAGTCTATACCAGAAAATTATCTATGCAGGTCCACGTTTTCGTATAGGCTCCATACATCAGTATCTCTCTATATTTGGAAGATTTTAGGTACAATTTTCACCGAAATATTTTTGAAATTTCCCAGTTGAAGTTCCTAATAGGTACTACAATCTGTGACAGAAAATTGTCTATGCAGGTCCAGGTGTTCGTATAGCCCCGATATACGGTATTTTGATGATTTTAGCTACATTATTTACCGATTTTTGTTCTAAGTTTCGTGTTTGAATACTGTAATGGCTCATGACAAAAGTTGCCTACGCAGGTCCAGGTCTTCGTATATACCGCTGTATAACGGCTATATTCGCTATTTTTAAGATTTAAACAAAATTTTAAGGGATTCTATTTTTTTGAAAATTTCCAAATTTTTAAAGGCCGAACTTACTGCTTTTTTTGCATGTTCTATACTAGGAGCCTATTAAATTGTCTCAAGATATACCTTCCTTGAAGTGTGCATAACTCGAAAATTAGCCTTTTGGGAACTCACAAAGAATCTGACAACTCTTGACTTACTGGAAATTAAACGCATTAGGAACAATTCTAAAATGTTCGTATCTCTTGGGAATCTAGGAATTTTATCCGTTAGGAGCCCTCAGTGATCCTGCTACCATATCAATTCATAGGTTTTATATTTAATAATGAAACTTTACGGATATTGACTGAACTCCGACATAAAGGGTACAAAAACTATAAAAAGGTGCAAAATGGCTCAACATTGTGTTTGAGCGGACGATAAAGAACCAAACTTTTAAATTTTGTATGAGAGTCCTTTGTCATGCCGAAATGTGTTAAGGCAGAAATTTTTAGAGATTTATGCTTAAAGGGTTCAAAAGATACTAAGAGGTACAAAATGTTAATGCATTGTTATTAAAATTAAGTTTAGTTTTGAGGGAGATAAGAGAGAATTTTCGAAAATTCGGCCCTATATGGTACAAAAAGGTACCATCGGCACAAAATAGTGGGATATTGTTTTTGAGCGACTGAGAAAGAATTTTCGAAAATTCGTTGGTTAAGGGATAACAGTGCTTAGAGTTACCAAATTGTATCATATTGTTAATTAACGATCGATAAGAGCTAGATTTATAAAATTTGGTAAAGATGAATTTGTACTTAAAGAGTACAGAAAGTACTCAATAGTACAGAATTGTTACGTAGCACAATAAGTTACGTAGCGTTTATGAAATTTTTTATGAGGAACTCACTTAGTATGATAAGTCGAGATATTTAAAATAGTACCAAAAGGTACAAAATGATATTGAGCGACCCATAAGAACTGTAAATTTAAAATTTTGCATGGAAACCACCATTTGTGGCCCCCCATATTTAGGTTACTTTGAGATTTAAACTTTCAAAACTCCACTACATGTGTCTTCTACTTTTATAATCTACTGACTTTTCCCTGAAACTATATTTTGGGTTGCACAGTGTAATTAAAATCTCAGCAGCCCTCCCAACTCACCTCGATAAGCTTGTGGTGTAATCCCTTAATGGTGTATTCGCATCATGTCGATAACTGCTAGAACTGCCAGGCTCTAAGAGAGACATTGTACGATGATCATAGGCACGAATTGGCCTTCGACCCATTGTGGCATATCCATCGATATGGCCACCGGTGGAGGTCAAATTACTGCCCGCCGCCGCCGCCGAGGAGGTACTGCTGCCGTTGGCGGTGTTGTAGGAGAAACGTCTTTTGGGATTGTAGGTGTTGTAATAGGCCGTTGTAGAGGCTAGACCGCTGCCGCCGCCACCACCCGCCTTCGACAAATTACTGGAATCATCGCCAAGGGTGGTTTTGTAACGCGACGACAAGATGGCAGTATGAGGCATTATATCTTTTTCGGGTGTGTTATAGGTAGAACTGCCACTTGTGGCATAACGTCGTTCCGAGAGACCTGATGGTGAGGTGGGCGCCCGTATGTCGTTGAGACTTTTACGTGGACGCCCGGGCGTCAAAGTATATTCATGGCTGGCATAGGGAGATTTGTAAACGGGTGGTTTCAGTTCCGTACCAATGGGACTGAGTTTGAGTGGTCGGAAAAATTCCTGGGTTATGTCCGGTGAACGGGCCCTTTCCTCAGGATAGATTTTGTTGGAGGATCTGGTCTTGGCTGCCGCCTGTTGTTCTCGGTAATATTCCCTAACAGCATTCGGTCCCACAATGCTGCTCGTTCGCTTGGGTTTCTTTTCATTGAAACGACAATAGAAACTGCGTCGTCGGATACGATCCACAATACTTTCATTGGGATCGGAACTTTCACCGTCCCGTCGGGTGGGCGATGAAACCTGGGATGTACGTGAAAGTCTGGAAACGGCGGGCGAGGGTGTGGCCCCACCACCACCATGCATGCGATAATTGTCCTCCGAACAGACAGACCAATTGTCGAAATACAATTCGGGCTCTTCGGTTGGCGAACGGAACGTTGACGTGGAGGCACAGTCTTCTTGATAACTTCTGGAATCCGATGAGTAATTGGCAATATTATCGAAAGAGGGTGACATCAGATTGTTGTTGGTCTGATTTGTGGAGCAGGTTGAGAGCGGTGGTGCTTCATGGCCGGTACTGGTGGTAAGGCTGCGATAGCCGGTGGTCTGACTCGAACTGAGCAGAGATGAGCTGTTGTTGTTGTAAGAAGTGGGTAAGGTATTGTTGTTGTTGTTGTTATTAAGATGTCCAATATTGTTGTTGTCCTGATTTGCGGCCGCCGTACTGCTTGAGGATGAACTGTGAATGATGTTGGTGGTGCTCCTGGGATAGGGCGGTAGATTCGAGTAGATTTCATTGTCATTGATGTAGGAGTATTTTTTGGAATTCCTTCCTGCCACAGGGGCTTCCGCCGTTGAGGGTGTCGAAAGTTTGGAAGATTTATCCGACAACTCTAGCATTAGGCCTTTACGGCGATCTTTGTTACCCTGCAAAGTTTGTGTTTCCAGCGAGGGATAGGAATTTTGCGGTTTCAGTTTATTGGAAGTCAAGGTATTTTCAATACACTCCGGACAGTTGGAGAGATCATTGGCTGTTGAGCTGGATTTGGGAGGAGGGGTACAGTTACATGGGGCCAAGGACTTGCCGCTACGACTCTTCTCCGCCGATTTTCTTTCCACTTCCGTGAATTTCTCTTTCTCTTTCAGTTTCAAAATGGCATCGGCATTTTGATAGATGGGTGAGGTATCTGTGGAATCCGTGATTTGTCGTTGAATATTACTGGCCGAGCGGGCTGTCCTCACGCGATTTGCAGAGTTATCCTTTTCGTAACGTTTGAAAAGGCCCAGGACTTTGTTGACGGACTTGCGATTAAAGGTCCCTGGCATTTCTTCCACACTCACCGCCCTCTTGATATACGTCGATTCGGAGTGTATTATGGGCTGGGAACGGGGCACGGAACGTTCCCTCAAATTCCTTATCATGGCATCAATGCGGGATCGTTTATCCGCTTTGATGGGCTTCGTTGTATCTCCAGTGCCAGGGGTTTTGGTTTCCTTGGACCCGGCGCCATCGCCCTCCCCTGCCGTGGGTGTACCGCTCTTTTTCGTTACCGAACTGCCGAGAGATTTAGTTTTCTTAACAAAGGAATATTTACCGCTAGTCTTTTCCGGTGAAGTACTCTGAGAGTTATCATTGCTCTGGCCAATGGCCTTCTTCTGGGTGGTGGGTATATTGGCACATGAGTTACTGGTTGCGGAAGCTCTTAACTTTTCGAATTTTTGGCCAATGGCATAGAGTAGACCCTTGTTGGGTTTCTTTTCCACCAATTTGTTGCTCGGTGTTTCTTTGGTACTGGGAGCTGCAGGACTTGATTCCTTGGAATCATCACCCACACTGGAATTGGTGTTACTCGCAGAGCTCGTGGAACTAATGGCTGTGGGTGGTGAGAGTTTGGATTTTTTGGTAATTTTTAAGACCTTCTTGGGTGCTGGAGAAACTTCTGGTAACATGGCCACACTTTCAGGGTTCGCTGAAGAGCTGGGGGTGGTGGCACTGGGTTTTAATACCATGGCAGTGGGTGGGGTGTTGCTTTCTTCAGGACTTCCGCCTCCCTCCATGTTGGCAAGTCTGGGTTTTGAGGGCTTCTTCAGCTCCTTGGGCGCCATTAACTTTGAGGTAGGATAACTCTTGGGCCTCAACAAACGACTTTCCCTTTGCAGAGTTGATGAGCCACCAATGGCATTGATTTCCTGGCCACTGGAGGTTGAGTTTTCCGTTGGAGTTTCTACAATGGCTGGCCCAATTTTAGTGGAAACCATATCCATTTGACCTGAATTTTCTGTCGCATTCGAGTCCTTGGTTGGATAGGATTTTGGCCTTTTCAGTTTGGAAACATTTTTGGGGGAATACAAATCGGTTATCAGAGACTTGGGAGCCGTGGTGTCACTCCCTGGAATGTTATCGCCAGCCGAGGTTTTGGGTGTTTCGGATTTTTTCACCACCACCTTTTTCACCTTCTTCACTACCGTCGTCGTGGTGTTGCTGGTGTTGGTAATGGTCTTATCGGCATCTGTGGAAGATTCTGTGGATTTTTCTTTGGGTTTGACCTTCTTTACCTTCTTCAGGGTCGAGGTACCCGCAACAGTCTTTTCTTTGTTCTCCACCAGGGTGGGCTCGGTTATGTCTCCACTACTCTCCTCCTCCACCAGTCGCTCCTGCTGGGATCGAATGGTGGACAGTAATTGTAGTTCCTGTAGAATCTTATCAGCCAATTCATGTTTTGCCAGTTTTTCACTTTCATCAAATTCTCTGGGCCGGGACAGGCTTCGACGATTTCTCTTCAGGGTATCTTGCTGGGATCCAATTCCCTCTGATTTTTCCGAGAACAAATCCAAGCTCTTGTTGCGAACATGTCGTGTGTGTTTCAATTTACTACCGGCGTCGAGAGATTCAATGCCAGGCTTTACAGGTTCCTCGGGAGTCATACCACTAGCCTCAACGGGCGACTCTTCCAGCGGCTGCTCCATAAAATCAGGGCGCAATAAACGTGAAATCCTTCTTTGAGAAGGCCTTTTGGCTACTGCCCCAGTACTTTCCATGGAGGCTGAGGGTGAAATCCTACCACTTGGTGGCCTACCCAACATGGAGGGGATTTCTGTGTTACCCAATATATCCTTGCTGGACTTTTTCACATAGGGTGAGTAGTATTTGTATTTTTCATTCACCTCACTGCTGTACAAAGGACATGGATCCTTGCCACTGCATTCCTGATTTGTGGATTCCAGTTTGGTTTCCTCTTTTGTTGCAAAATCATCTCGTATTCCATTTACATTTTCCACCTTGTCCTTGGCCACACTTAATTCCTTGCGTTCTTCCTCCGTTTTCGTTACCGGCAAAGTGGACCCAGGTCTACCACTACTTTGGCTACGTTTATAGATCCGTGTGGGAGGACATTGGCCAGCCTGCACACTTAGTGTGCGTGAGAGCTTTCTTGCCTGTGTCGGTGGCAATTTGGCCAAAAGCTGTTCCTGAAAACATTTCGGCAGTCCTGGAGCAATGCTGGATAAAGTCTCCAGATCAGTTTTACTCAAACGTAAACGTGATAAATCTAAATCGGCCAGATCTAAGGGTTCGTCAGGAAGCTGACTGCCATCGTCTATGGACTTTGATTTTTTATCGGCATTGCTAGACTTGCCTGGAAGAGAGAAGCATAAAAAATAACATTTTTTGATCATTTCTATTCCAATAATTTGTAGAGACGATATCTAGAATGGTTTAAGAGATTTTTTCCTTGAATACTTTTACAAAACTTACCAAATTAGACTTTTGTAAGGGAGCAGGATTCGGCTTAAGGCGTGTTATTAATACATGCTCCAATGACCGCCACTGGAAGAACTTGGCAAAGCTGTACTTACCAGAGCTTTATATATTCATGGGTTTTTTTAAATCCTTAAAGGATTTCTAAATAATTTTATCACAATGATAAAGGACTTAAAGAAAAAAAAATTCCTAGGACTATTGGAGGTGGATTTTTAATAGTTTTTTTTTAAAGAACTATTGCAGCTTCGAAGAATGTTCTTTCCGAGAAGTATCATGGCTATGAACGTGCAGTTTTAAGAATATTTTTTCAAGGACTAAACCAAATAAAAACGGCTAATAGTTTTTCAAGGACTATCACAGCTAAGAAGAAGATTTTAAAATATATCCTTCAAGGATTATCAGTGGTACAATTAAGATTTTTAGAATATTTTCTTCAATTATTTTTGAAGATTAAAATATTGATTTTTAAGAATACTTTCAGCGACTACCAAATTCATAAACCTATATTTTTTGTTCTTTTTTTAATACCAAGGACTATCAGAACCATAAACGTAGATTTTAAAGAGAATACTTTTCCAAGGACTATCAGAACTATAAATGTGGATTTTAAAGACTAGTTTTTAAGGACTATCATAGCTTCAATACTAGATTTTTAAGAATATATTTTCAAGTGGATTTCACAAAGATTTAAAAAAAATCTCAATTTTTTTTTTTTTTTTTATTTAACGACTATCAGATTACCAGAAGTCTCCCTGGCACCCAAAAAGGTAATAAAAAATACGAAAAAATCCAACCTCTCACCACCCACAACTATTAGTTTCACAATTTTCGCGAGTAACACCATTTCCAGGATGGGTGAATATTCCAAGAAAGTTTTGCAGCTCCCTATACCAAGGAAACCACGAGCAAGAAAGAAAAGAATCCCAACAATAATCTGCTCAAAGTGAGTGGTCTAAAATGCTAGAAGTTAAATAAAAAATGCCGGGGACCCTTAATCGCAAGTCACCTAGAAATCCTGGACCTTTTCTAATCTTCCAACCTTTCAACACCCTCAACAGTAGATGTTGCAGTGGAAGGGAGGAACTATATGAAATACTCCTGCATTAATGACAAAGAAATCTATTCAAATTCCGCCTTTTCGGAGGACAATTATCGCATACATGGTTGTGGGGTCACATCACCCACAGTTTGCAGACTTTCACATATATCCCAGGTTTCGTCGTCCACCCGACGGGAGAGTTGAATCCTAGGTGAAAGTTCCGATCCCAATGAAAGTATTGTGGATCGTATCCAACGACATAGTTTCTATTGTCGTTTTAATGAAACGAAACCCAAGCGAACGATCAGCATTGCTGAGCAACAGGCTGAGGCCAAGCCAAGATCCTCTAACAAAATAAATCCCGAAGAAAGGGACCGTTAACCGGACATAACACGGACATTTTCCGACTACTCAAACTCAGTCCCATTTTATAAGGAATGTCTACATGTGAAGCATGACCTTGTTTGGTAATTTTTATGAATATTTCTGAAAAGGCTAGCAGAGATCCAAACGTATAGCTGTTTACAAGGACCTCCAGGGTCAAAACTTTGATTTTTAGGAATATTATTTTTAAGGACTAAATGAGTAGCAAACATGTAGTTTAGTCGAAGAACAACCATTGCTTCAAAAATGGATTTTTCCAAGGACTATAAAGGCTCCAATAATAGCTTTAAGTGGACACTAACACCTCAACACTTTGGTTTTTAAAGGACTATTACCTTCAATTAGGATTTCCAATTAATGAAAATCTAAATGTGAACCTTTTCAGGGATTATCACAGGACTACCTTCGATGCCAGAAACTATCATGGCTCCAGAATACCTGAATACTTTCCAAAGACTCATTTCATGGACTATCTCACCATTGGGTATTTTTTTTTATAGACACTAAAACATAATGCGAACTTTTCCCAGGGATTATCAAAGCTCCTAGCGGGGTTATTTCCAAGCACTATTAGAGTTCAAAACGTAAAATTTTTATAAAAATATTTGAGGTAGACTAAGAACTCCAAACGAGGATTTGAATGGTACCAAGAGCTCTAAACGTGAACATGTTCAGAATATTTATTAAGGACACTAAGAGCCCTAAGCGTGCATTATTTCCTTGGACTGAAAGAGCTCCAAACTATGTTTTTTAATAATATTTTTTAAAACAAAGTCTCTTTGATTTTCAAGGATCTTAATATTATTTTGGCCTTTTATATGCTCCATATGTGGACGTTTTTCGAGAATTATTTGCGCTTTTAAAAGTTTTTTTGAAGTAAGCTAAGAACTTAAAAGTCGATTTATTGGGAATAGTTTTAACGATATAAAGAGCTCCAAACGTTGACTTTGCAGGTACTTCAAGCTTGAAGGATTACTATCAAACACCAAAAGCTCAATTTTCAAGGATCGAAATACTGTTTATGACTACACCACATATAAAGTAGGATTTTTTTAGGACCACTTATTTTCTGAAACTTTTCAGACGAATATTATTTCGGTTTTTTTGGGACTATTTTTTTTTTGTCTGAATATTTGTCTTAAATGCTCTTAGATATACACGGTGAGATGAAAAAATTGCAATCAACTTCAGACTGCTGTCATTTCCAAGCCACTCGATCGACAGCTGTTAATTTTTTTCATTATATTGTTTACAAGCGTACAAAAGCATTTTGTTGAAAATTTTCTAGAAAAAAAAGTTATTAGACTCAAAAGAGCTAAAGATTTGCTTCGCTTGGCCGAAAGTGGTAAACTGCTGAATTTGGTTTTCTCCGATGAGAAAACATTCGTTGTCCAGCAGTTTGTAAACGAACAAAATGATCGTGTTTACTTGCCAAAGAGGACTCAAGCGCCGGCCATGGTGGTGGTGTGGGCCACCGCTCGTATTAATCGACCGTGGCATCAGAATAAATGCCGAATATTTTGGAGGATGTATTAAAGCCTAGGGCACGCAAACATATTGGCCGTAGACCTTGGACATTCCAACAGGACACAGCACGCGCCACCCGAAAATGGTTACAAAATGACGTTCCTCGCTTCATTTCCAGCACACAATGGCAACCAAATTCTCCGGATACCAATCTGTTGGACTATTGTGTCTGGAGTATTTTGGAAAGCAAGGTTGGCGCTAAAAATACCAAAGTGTTGATCACCTCAAGCAAGTGCTTCGCCTGGTATGGGCCAAAATCCCGCAGAGCAACATTCGGGCAGCGTGTGACGGTTTCATTGGCCATTTGAAGGCCATAATTCGTGCCAAAGGTGACCAATTCAAATAAACCTAAACTTATTTTAAAATTTGATGCTGTTTCCGACATTTTTTGCTTTCATTCAATAAAGTTAAAGAAATGTAAAAATTATGGCGTTTGACTTTATTGCAGTTTTTATCTCACCTTGTACAGGTCGCAATTATCGTTCAATCCAGAAAAGACTATAGTTTTTGAGGATGTACATTTAGGGTAACAATTGAAACCCCTACAGGCACAATTGAAATCCAATCGACATGGAATTTTGCATGACAAGAGCGTTAAGGACAGGGAAAGTCTAGCATTTTGGATGTCGATTGGATTATGTTTAGTTGTAAAATGGATCAAAACTTTCGTATGAAATTGCTTAAATACCTAACAACACGATGGAGCGCGTAAATATTGAGTAAATGCCCCGGGTCAAACAGCTAAGGGTAACATCTGGGCAGGGCTCTATGACATTAATCCAAAAACGAACTATTCCAAAATGTATTTGGACATAACGGGGCCTGCAATATATTGTAGTGTTGCAGGGTATAACATGGTCGGCGCCGCACTACTATAGTCTTTGCTTACTTGTTTTTTCAGGGAATGTACCTGGACAATATTTTTTTCAGTATTTTTCCAAAGACTTTTAGACCTTTTATCGTGAATTTTTTAGAATAAATTTCCAAAGGACTACTATCAGGCACCACAAACTCCATTTTTTTTCTTGGACACTAAGATATCGAAAAATTGTTGGTTTTTATTCAATGACTTTAACACCTCTAAAGTGGGTTTTTTTCAAGGCCACTTATTTTCAGGAACTGTTCAGACGAAAATTATTTGGTTTTTTTTTTCAGGACTAAAAATTGTTGTTTAAATATTTTTTGTTAAAGGATCTTAGATATGTTATTGTAGACTTATCTCAAATTATATGTCTCAGAAACTGTTGGAATTAAAACGTTGTTATAACCTCCACCTTGGAAAGGAGGGTATATTAACTTTGTCATTCCGTTTGTAACATCCTTAAATATTCGTCGTAGACCCAATAAAGTAATATCATAATCAGCATAAAATTCTAAGTCGATTTAACGACGTCCGTCTGTCTGTCTGTTGAAATCACGAAACTGCCCACATTATTTGACGTAGAGCGCCAAAATTTAGCAGAGCAATTTGTGTTGTGTCTAGGATGGTTGGTATTGAAAATGAGATATATCGGTCCACGTTCTGGTATAGTCCCCATATAACGGCACCTCCCGAGATTCGGTATTTTGATGATTTATGCCACATTTTTTCACTGATTTGTTTGAAAATTGGTATTTGTAGGTCATAACGGGTCCCTGTACGTGTGGAAAAACATGGCATGTATAGGTCCACGTTGTGGTATAGCCCCCATATAAAGGTACCTCCCGATATTCGGTATTTTAATTTTTTTTTGCCACATTTTTCACGGATTTGTCTAAAAATTGGTATTTGTTGGTCATAATGGGTCCCTGTACGTGTGGCAAAACATGGCATTTATAGGTCCACGTTTTGGTATAGTCCCCATATAAAGGTACCTCCCGATATTCGGCATTTTAATTTTTTTGCCACATTTTTTCACGGATTTGTCTAAAATTTGTATTTGTTG